AACCAGTGTCTACCCAAAGCCATGACTTTGCTTATGTACTGCTGGCAGCAGCCCTGCAGTAGTGGGAAGCTGGATGAGGAACCCGAGATATTCAAATGTTATAACTTCCTGCCTTTTATTCCAGAAGGAAAGTGGAGAGTCAAAATCTTGTTGAAGTTCAAGGCCAGCTTGGATGGGGCTTGGAGCAACCTGTGCTAGTGGAAGGTGGGACTGGGTAATCTTTAAAGTCCCTTCCAACCCAAACCATTCTGGGATTCTATTATAAACAAATACTCAGAGCTTTGAAGCCCTGGAAAGCTCATTCCAGCCCTTTGAGGCAATTTCTGCACTTTCCCAGGTTCTGGTTTCACAGACAATAACTCTTGGCTGCAGCAGGGCCCAGCTGAGCAGCAGGAGAGAGAACAGGAGGAGCCACTACTCCTGCTCGTGTCCGGAGCAGCACGGGCTCTCCTGTGCCTCCCTCACAAGAAGGGAGGCAGACACATTCTCTGATGCACAGTGAAAGTGAGAAGATAAAAGCAAGACTCCCTGTGCCCCAGGCAGTACAACTCTCCTGTCCCTGTCTAGCCAGCAGCATCACTAATGTGACAAGCAAACAGCAGGCTGGCATGGCTGGTGAGCAGGTCTGGTGCTCCCCCCTCATCCCTTCACCTCCCCTGCTCCCCGGCCTCTGCGTGCCCCTGCTGCCTTCGCCAGCACAGCTCCAGGACCATGGCTGCAAGGGAATTGTTTTGATTGAAGGTGAGGGGAAAAATCCTCCTTTCTGGTGCTCTGCACAACCTGGGATCTGTCTTGCCTGTGCTCCATCGCTCACAGATGAATTCCAATAGGATCAGTCTGGGCTCAGTCCAGTGCTAGGAGACCCCAGCAGAGCAGGGCCATGGCCCATGTCCTTGCTTTGGACCGTGGTCACCTGTCCTTGAGCTCATGGGCTCCTCCAAGTCCTGTCAGGACAGCCCTCCCCAAAGACCCTGCGTGGCTGGGACACAACCTGGGCTGTGAGAGCCACTGAAATTCAAACCCCACTGATGCCTGGCATGCGCCTGGGACAGAGCTGTGAGCTGCACATCTTCCTGGCCAAGATATCTAGAGAATCATGGAAGATTGGAAAAGACCTCCAAGATCATCAAGTCCAACCTTTGACTGAATGCCACTTTGTCCACTAACCCATATCACCACGTTGTGACATACTGCTGTAAAATGCCACCCAGAATAATGATGCAAATAATCATAACAACTTTTCTGGATCTATAGAGGGGGAGAAATCATCCTGATGGGTTTACTGGGACAATGGATTGGTTTCCTTCACCACACACTCCTTGTATTCCTTCTGTAAGGGCCATTTATGGCTCTCTGTGGCTGTTTGCAGCCAAGAGCCTCTGACATCAGCACTAATCCTCCCTCCTTATCCCCTGTGACAAGAGTTCCTCATAAAAGGGACACATTCCCAAGAGCCTGGATGCTCTCTTACCCCCACCACTGGGAGGTCTTGAATTTGTCTCTGGATACTCCAGAACCTAAGGCTTCTTCCTCCCTCCTCAGATCACAGAAGCCAGTTACCAAGAAGTGCCCATCCCACTGCTATTAACTCATCCCTGACCATGGAGCCTTTTCCTTCAGCTTTCCCAGGGCACTCAGCCTGTCCACAGTGTGCATGGAGCCTGCAAATCCTCACAGCACCGAGGCTCTCCCCACTCCCCACCCCTCCCCAAAGAAAGGCCACAAATTAGTAGGCAGGGGCTGCCAGCAAGAGCTGGTGCCTGGCAAGGCTCTCAATCAGTCAAGTGTTGTTATCCAGAGCCCTGGGCCAGGCTCAGCTCCTTGACCCCTTGGGCTGCTGGCATGGCTCTCAGCCCCACTCTTGGCTCAGACCATTTGTTGAGGAATGGCTGGGAAAAGACTTTTGATGGCACCCAGGCTCTGCCATAGTCCCTGCAGACGGGACTGTGGCACCTGGAGAATCCTGGATTTTGCTCCTGAAGGGATGCTGAGCTTGGGGAATGAGGTACTGCTCAGCTGCAGGGTGTGAGAAGCAGGAGTGCAGGTGAGCTAGAGGTGGAGGAGAGCCTGCTGAGAAGAGCAGAGAGAAAACCCAGCCCGGGTCAGAGGTGACAGAAGGTATTGCCCAGGAAGGCAGGTGGATCATGTGTGTGGGGATCCAGTTTGCTGGAAGGGGTCACGTCCATGGGATGATGGTCACCCAACCATCACCCAGCACGTGCCACCCACCTGGCCACACTCAGGACCCTCCTTCCCTCTGGCTGCTCTAAAGGGGTTTTCTTACTCTCACAGGAGATTTTTCCTGGGATCCCAGAATGGTTTGGGTTGCAAGGGATATAAAAGCTCATCACCCCTTCCATGGGCTGGGACAGCTTCTACTATCCCAGGGTGCTCCAAGCCACATCCAGCCTGGTTTTGGGCAATTTCAGGGATGGCACAGCACAGCCACAGCCTCTTCACCTTCTCAAGGCCTCTTCACCTTCTCAGGGGAGAATCCATTCCCAATATTCCATCTAACCCTGCCCTCTGGCAGTGGGGAGCCATCCCCGCTTGTCCTGGCACTCCATGCCCTTATAAAATGTGGGTGCTGAAGAACTGGTGACACCTGAAGATTTTGGATGCTGCTGGTCATGGGGCATGTCTCCTCAGTCCTGCAGCACAGAAGGACCCCAGCACTCACCCTGTGCCCTTTGGGGAACCAGGGGGGTTTTCTTTGCTTCCTGCAGAGCTGCAGGACCCCGAGGGGTGGTGGGCACTTTGCTTTGTCCAGCTGCAGCAGGAGCACAGCCCCATCACACACCCAACAATGGAGCCCCAGCTGGCTCCTCCATTCAGAGCCAAGGCAGAGGGAGGCTCATCCTCCCTCTGCTCCCTCTCCTCTCCCCCAACACCCCCCATTTTCCTATCCCAGCTCTGCCTTCCTGTCTGCAGCTTCTGTTACCAACTGCTAATGATCTACACCAAGGCTGCCAGGCGGTGCCGGTGCGAGTGTAAGCAGAAGAATCCAGAGCCTCTAATTACAGAGGAATTAGCAAGCAGACAGTTAGTGTTTAGTGCTAATGAATAGATACATTAAGGGAGACATCACACGGGCTGAGAAGTGTGAGCCCCGATAATAAAGGAGTGTCAAACCAGGAAAACACAAGGAGGAGCAGGCAGGGGACTGAAAAGGATTTGCCTTCGACTCAGCTCGCTGGTTTTGCTCAGGTGGGAGCAGGCACGGGTGATACATGAAGGTTCAAGCACAGCAGAGAAATGCAAGTACGAAATATGAGCATCAAATGATTAATCCATAGTACAGGACCATGGTGGGAGAGTGCAGAACCCCTTCCCAGCTCCAGGTAGCATTACAGCCACCCCATCTCCATCAGGTAAAGGAAACTGGTCATCCAGACCCGTTCCCCTCTCCTCCCTGGGGCAGACCTGCCTTCAGGGCTTCAAAAACACCCTGGCCCCACTCCCGAGCAAGCTCCAGATCAGTGGGCACCATAATAATTCACCCAGGCATTTTTGCAGGTTCTCTCTGTCCTCACGCTCTGGAAGTGATGCCCAAGTAATGCTCACCTGCCCTACTGCTGTTTTACCCCACCCACCATCCCTGGAAGCCAGAACACACCATGGCCTCCAGGCAATTCACCCATGCCTGCCAAATTCAGCCATGGGGGTCCAGTGTCTCCAGGGCAGCTGCAGAGGGACCAGAATCTCTCCTGCTCCCAAGCAGGGCTGTGCCTCACTGGCATCCTTCCACCTCAATCCCATTAAGCCAAGCCCCAGCCCCGGCCTGTGCCCAGCTCCAGATGGCTTCCAGGTGGGCTGGAATGGCAGTCTCTGGCCAGCAGCTCAGTGGGGCTCCCTGCCCCTGGCACAGCTGCCAGGGCTGCTGGGGACCCTCCCAGGATAGCACTACCAGCCATCCCTCCCCCCAGCAATGCCACCCTGCACAGAGCTGGAGACCCTGACTGAAACCCTCCCAGCTCTGTGCTTCAGCTGCTTCACCAGGTGACCCTGCACGGGAACTGGAGCAGATTCCCAGACTGTTATCCCAAACATTGATCTCCCAGCCCCTCTCCTGTACAGCTCTCCTTTGCTTTCTCAGTCTGTCCTGGCTTTCTCTACAGTCCAAGCAGGGACTGCAGCTCCTATCAAAACGCTGGAGCCACCTCCCCTTCCCTCCCCAGGAGCCAGGAGTGTGTGCAACACTCTGGTGGAGCTGCAATGATGCTTCCAGACACCAGTGTCAGGCCCAGCCACACCCAGTGCTGCAGAGGGATGCTGTGACACCAGGGGACAGTGCCACAAGCTGTTTGCTGCCATGATGGGGAGGCAGCTCTGCCCTGGGGCACGCTCCAGCTTTTCAATGGAATAAGGGATATTTTGACACTCAGGACTTGGGATTCATTCAGGAATTGCCTGGCACTCATCACCACCAATATTATGGAATAAGCAACATCTTACCCCACCTCTTGTCCCCTTCCAACCCACAGAGGCTCAGCCAGCAGTGCCCAGAGATGTGCCCACCCCTGATGCCTCAGGTTTTAGCTTTTCTATTTTTCAGATTCTATTCTGCTTTAATGTGTAACTCTAGGCATCATATTAGGGGATAGTAAACTCTCTCCACAGAATAGGTAGACAAAACAATTCCTTCTCTAGCTGGGGACCCAAGGACAGCTGATCCAGATCTCAGGCCCAAGAGCACGAATAAGGTGGACTGAAGAGAGAAAACAAGAAGGATGGGACTGCATGGGCTAAAGCTGGAACTGGACAATGAACTCCAATATGCAAATGGATCAAAACTTTATACAAGCGAGAGACCCCGTGACCGGTCGTGCATTTTGTGACCATTTTGGGTTGTGCTGCCCAAGGTGGATCTATTTGAGGCCTTTCAGCAAATCCCTGCTTTATTCTTTAGCTGTGTCAGGCCTCTGCTCTAGCTCCGCCTGCTCAAGGCCTGACCCCAGCGCGCGGCGCCGGAGCGCTGCCGGGGCGGGCGCCGGCCTTACCGGCCTGGTTGGTGGTGATGTTGACGGAGGCGAACTGCGGGGAGAAGGGGCTCTGGTCGGTGACGCCGTTGACGGCCTGGATCTCGAAGGTGTACTGCGTGTGTGCCAGCAGGTCGCTGATGTAGATGCGGGGCTCGGTGAGGCCCAGCTGGCGCGGGGCGAACTGCACGTTGTCCCCGCAGCGCGTGCAGGCCCCGCGGCCCGCCCCGCAGCTCTTGCAGATGATGTTGTACACCAGGTCCTCCCGGCCCCCCGAGTCCCGCGGCGGGCTCCACTCCAGCATCAGCGACGTCTCGTTCACGCTGGAGATCACGGCCTGGGGGGCGGACGGGATGGCTGGAAAGGGAACAGACAGGAGTGTGAGACAGCTGCGCCCTCCTCCTCCCCATCCCTGGGCAGCACTCTGTGAGCCCAGCTGGGTGCTTCTCCGGGTGTCAGGGATGCGTGCAGCAAGCTCGGCATCCAAAGGTAAGAGTGGGAGCGAAACCTCTTACCCCAGTCTAATTTGATTGTGTGAAAGTCCTGGAAAAATTTATCAGTTGGTTTGTGTAGCGTCCTTCAAAACCCCACTGGGACAGACACCTTTGTCAAGCATCCCTCAGTGCTCTGACTGAAGCTCATCTCCTGTCCCCACCTGGTCCCCTCCCAGGTGCCCAGACCCACGTACTGGTGCATGGCATGTCCACAGGGTCGGCGTCTGCCCGGTAATATCCATTTCGGCACACGCAGTTTGTGGCCCCTTCCGAGGTTGTCCGGCTGTTGATGGGGCAGTGGACACACCCTTCATCCCCCTGGCTGGCCTTGAATGTTCCCGAGGGGCAGCCTGGAAGAGAAGAGAGCAGTGGTGAGCAGTGAGAGGGGGCTGGGGGATGCCTGGAGCCCAGCACTGCTGCCAGAACAATCCCCGGGGCTCTGCAGACTCCAAAGGAAATCTTGACAACTGCAGGTGAACACCACAGAGAAGGAGCAGCTGGTTGGAAGGCCCTGAGGAGGCACCTGCAGAGATGGATCCCCACACAACACCTCCGTCCCCATTCCCCAGCCATGAGTGCAGAACAGGGATTGTAGAGTGCAGAGGGAATTTTTAGCCACTGCTACAGAAGAAGATGTGAGTGGCTGTACCAGGTCAGACCATGGACACCAGAATCATCTCCCCAACAGTGACTGTCAGAGGGCTTTAGGCTGGATATCAGGGAAAGGCTCTTCCCCCTGAGGGTGCTGGGCACTGCCCAGGCTGCCCAGGGAATGGGCACAGCCCTGAGGCTGCCAGAGCTCCAGGAGCCTTTGGACAAGGCTCCCAGGGATGCACAGGCTGGGACTGTTGGGATGTCTGTTCAGGGTCAAGGGTTGGATTTGATCCCTGTGGGTCGCTTCCAAGTCAGGATATTCCATGATTCCATGACCACCCAAGGAGCAGGGCATGAACCAGGTGCACGTGCTGCCCACAGCACTTCCCCAGTCCCTTCTAAGATGCAGCTCCTTCCACTCAAGACCCCATGAGGGTGTTTGTCCCACTATGTTACCCCTCATTTTTTATTCCCTGCAAATGTCCTGCACCTGTTTTACCCATAAAGAGCCCTGTGCTGTAACCACATGCTGCAGGAAGAAACTGCTGCTTTCTGCTTCAAAGCCAAGCTGCCATTCTTGATGCCATCCCACATTTCCATTGCTGGTGGACACTCAATCACCATCTGCCTTGTCCACAACCTCTAAAGTTGTCCAAATCTCTGTCATGCTCCACACTGCTTAACAACATTCATTGGTTTATTCTCTTCTTTTTTCATCAATGCTCACATTATTTTTTAATCACTGACTGTGAAAGCCCCAAGATCTGAGTTGTGAGGGACATTGGGCCAGCTCCTAGCTCATCTCCATGCAGGTGTATGTGAATTGGTCTACTGGAAGATGCCCCTGCCCGTGACAGATGACCTTTAAGGCACCTCCAAACCCAAACCATTCTGTGATTTCACCATTCCATGAACCTGGGGTTGTTTTCTCCCATTTGTATCACCTCAAGTCTTTTGAATTCCAATTGCCTTCTCATTCCCTGGTCCTTTTGCAACTCTCCAGAGACTTTTGTCTTCATGACTTTGTAGATGTGGCACCTGGGGACATGGAAGTGCTGGGTTGATGATCCTACGGGCATTCCCAACCGTAATGATTTTATGACTCAAGTAAATTGTTGGTTCTGCTGAGCAGTAACAGCGGGCTGGGCTGTCCCTCCAGGCTCTGAGCCCTCAGGGGTGAAGAAGATGCTCCATAAGCAGCAGCCACTCAACCCCACGTGTGTCCAGCCCCACAGGGTGGGTGAGGGGGACAGGGGGGTGTGTGCTGCCTAAAGCAGACAGTGGTGAAGGCTGGACCACACAGTGATCCAGCACTAACAGACTCAGCACTCATGGATAAAAGCTATCGACATCAGAATGTCCCTTCCAAGTCCAGGGATCACCAGTGCCCAAAGAAAGTCTCAGCTCAGACCATTCCTCTGTGGTTTCTCCTGTTGTGACTTTCTGTTGCTGTTAATTCTTACACAGCCTGAAGAGCCTGGGGGGAGCAGGTGGTTCCCGTGCTGAAACAAGTTTAACAAACTTCTCCTTGAGTCGCCTGCCAAGGCTCCCAGGAATGAGGCAGGTCAGAAAACAGCCTGGGAGAAACATTCACTGGGGCTGCTGTGAGCAAGAGCCATTGCTAAGAAGTAGGTATTTCTTATTTGGGAGAAAAGGAAGAAAAGAAGGCTGTTTTTTTTCCCTTCAGTTGTCATCTCCTTTCCTCCAGAATTATCCTCAGTTTCCAATGAGAAAAGCTCTACAGAAAAATTCCATCAGCCTTCCTGCTTGCACTGTCCCTCCTCCCTCTTATGGTCAAAGGAGCTGTTGAAAAACAGGATCCTCCTCATGTTCCTGAATCTTTCCATCGATCCCTCACCTGTTCGATTCCATTCCTGACCCACTTCCCTTGGCACCAGCCCATCTCAGAGGGTGTTAAGCTGTTGGGAGAGGTGATGGCTGGGCAGTTCTGCATTCCACAGAAGCAATGGGGACATGATAACAGGCTTCCTGCACTAATAGCAATATTTGAGACACACAAAAGACCAAGAGATAAAATTGCTCTCATCTGACAGCCCAGGTGAAATGCAGGGTCATTCCAGCAAGGATAGTTTCAGACAAGGGCCTTTTTCACCTTCCTGAGGTTTATTTTAAAAATAGATACTTTCCTATAATACTTTTTCTGCATCAAGATAGAAAGACATCCAGAAAGTGCCCAGGCTGTGGAGTGTAGTGACTACTCCAAGGGATAAAAACATTCCCCACATTGGCCCTGACACAGTTCAATGGCTGGAGAGAGATAAAAACTGAGGCTCAGTGGTTGTTCCTCAAAAATACCAAGTTGGGACACTGAAACTCTTTCCATGAGACACCAGAACACAGCCAGAAGTTTTGGCAAGCCCCTTCCTCCCCAGCAGGTCCTGCATGGGATAAAATAACCCTGGAAAAATCAGAACTTCTCTGAAGTTAAATGTTCTGAAATCACGTGTAAGACAGGAAAATCATTGAAATTTGATGCAAAGTCCTTTTTTGTTCTTGATTTATTTTTTTTCCAGTAATGACAACCTTCAGAAGTAAAATAAATGAACATTGACTTCAAAACTGATCTGCTCCCTCCAGGTGAGACAACAGATTTTCTTTGGAAATCCACCCAAACTCTTGTTTCTAACATGAACAGCAAATCAAAAGTGAAATCTTCACACAGGGGCTAAAATCCCTCCTGCCTGAACAATGGGAATGTTCTCACCATGTGCTGGAAGCGTCACAGAATATCAGCATCATGGAATATTCTGAGCTGGAAGGGATCCAGAAGGATCATCAGTCCCACTCCCGGTCCTGCACACACCCCAACGATCCCACTCTGTGCCTCAGAGCAGTGTCCAAACACCCCTGGAGCTCTGGCAGCCTCGGGGCTGTGCCCATTCCCTGGGGAGCCCGGGCAGTGCCAGCACCTCTGGGGGAAGAGCCTTTTCCTCATGTCCAGCCTGACACAGACATGAGGACAGCCCAGTTTTCTGCCCTGGGAGGTGACAGCAGCTCTGGGACATTGCTGCTTTTCCTTAGGCTTGCAGCAAGGACATCCCTAGAAATTTGTGATGGGAAAGAGGGAATTGAAACAGTGAAAGCACAGAAATTTCTACTTTATCCAAGCCTCCTTCACCCCTCCAGTACGATTTTGGTGCCAGAGGCTCTGGGCCCACCACTGCAGCAGTTTCCCCCACCCCCAGCACCGATGGGATGCTCCCAGGGGCTCCCAGGGACAGAGGGACCTTTAATGCTTGGCTGCTGCACAGCTCCATGGATGGATGCTCTGGGGGCAGCCTGCAGTACTGGCTGTGGCTCTCTCCAGCAAGGCTGGGAATGCTGAGCAGCACCAGGGGTCCTTGTTTCCCACTCCCTCCCTCCCTCCCAGGGCATGGAAAGGTGCTCGTGCCTGGGGAAGGCATGTGCTTTGGGAATCACAGAATAAACTGAGCTGGGGAGACCCCCAAGATCCTGCCCTTCCTGCAGGGGATGACACCAGCACATGGGAGGCAAGGCCACCTCTGCTGCTGGCACCAAGCCTCCAGCCCTCCTGTCCCAGGGCAGCTCAGCAGGGAAAGGCATCCAATGGCTCAGGGAAAGCCTTTGGCCAAATGTGCAGGAGAGGCCACACAGGGGTTCCCTGTTTCCTTCTCACTGCCTCTCCCTAACCGAATGTTTAATTAATCCAGTGTGAGCTGGGCAGGCTCCAACCAGGCTCCCCTGCATCCCAAACTGCCCTGGCCTTCAGAGTCCACCCCAGGCCCCTCCTGGAAACAGCTCTGAGCAAACACCTTCCTCCTGCAATAAAGTCCCTAAATGGCACCTTCAGCCCATGGTGAGGGCTCTGAGGAAGGAAGGATTCTTCTCACCCCTCCACCTGGCCCTGTTTCTCCTGGCAGCAAGGATCACTGAACTCCAGCAAGGCATTTTTAAAGGCTGATGGAAACCAGGCAGCCCTGGCTGTCAGGATCTGCCAGGAGCCTTAAATCCCCAGCCTTATCTCCCCACTGGCTCCTCTCTCCCTGCGGGGCCGGGGCTGGGGGCTGGCTTTGCAGCTCTCCTGCTGCTGCAGGAGCCAGGGCTTCTCCCCTTGGCCACATCCTGCCTCCTGCCCTCCTCTGTGGGTTTGGGGGCTCCTCTCCATGCTTTTGGGACTCCTCTTCCATGCTCTTGGCGTCCCAGCCCCACAGCCCTCCCTGCTCCCCCTGGCATGCTCATCACCCCACAAACCCTAGGTGGGTGCCTTGGCCCCACACCACAGTGCTGCTCCCACTCTGAGCCCACATAAAACGAGTCCCAAATGAGTCCCACAGATATGCTCTTATGGAGAACAAGGAAAACAATGTCCTGGGCCAAGCCAGGAGGAGCATGGCCAGGACACTGTGGGAGGTGTTTTCCTTTCCTTGCCAGGCACTGGGGATGCTGCCATGGTCAGGCTAGGATTGCCCAGTTCAAGGGTGGTATGGAGAAGCAGGAGAGTCCAGTGGAGAGTCACCAAGACGGTCATCCCGGGGCACAGGGCAGGACAGGTGGGAAGAGCTGGATGGGGGAACTGGGGATCCTGTGGTAAGGGGGGATCAAACTGCACCTGATGAAGATAGGCTCAAACACTTCCTGGCTGCAGACTCTGCCACACAGGACAAGGACCTCAAGCTCAGACAGGACATTATGAAAAGCTACTTCTCCAAAAGATGGTGCTGACCTGGGAGAAGGGTGGTAGAGTTCTATCTTTGGGGAAGATTGAGCAGAATTC